ACTCTTTCCAAAAGCCACCCCAGCTGTCTTGCCTTACATGTCTTCCTCCCTTGTGGGAAGGGCTAGCCAAATTGCCTTGAAAAGCAATGGGCAAGAAACTCCTAAAAATCAAGTGAAGGAGGGGACAGAGGCGGATGTGTTGATTTCTGAACACCATCTTCCAATGAGGCAGTTCTCAATAGCTCTTGAAACTCCTGTGCTGCCCACGTAAAAATAGTCTGGATACCTTCCCAGAGAATAACCAAAACACCAGGCTAGACCAAAACCAATATTTCTGGGTACACTTTTGCCGACCCTGCTGCCCGACTTCAGAAGTAAATTACCCCTTTTGTTTTCTTCTTTTGGAAGTACTACAGCAGTATGAAAAGATATAAACAAACAAGACATGACAGCCATCATTTTTGTCTAATTAAAAACTACAAGCTCATTAACTTAAGAAGAAATGAGGCAGCAATGTCACCGGAGGAAAGCAGCTTTCATTACTGAGCTACAACCAGCTTCCCGGGCCAGGACCCATGGAGCAAGATACCGAAGCTCCCACCCTGTGCCAGCAAACCATCTCTGGGAAAAACACTTTGACAAGACCATGTGGGCCACATGGCTCCTACGCATTTTTGCAGAGGGGCCTCATTTCTGCTGTCCCCTGCACTGGGGCTCTGCCAACCAGCACGGCGCTGCAGGAGCCCAGGCTGGCCTTGAACCGATATCACGTTGGAGGAATGACTGCTCCTTACCAGCTAGCGATTGATTCCTTCAGCTACTGCCGAAGCCAAGCCCAACTCAGTTTAAGGTTAGAAAGTCCTAAAGCCACAGGCTAATAGTAGGAGTATGGTTTGGGTTTTTTTGTTTGGTTGTTTTTTTAAACATGCAACACCATGGCATCTGGGCCAACCTGGTCTATAGATTGCTGAAGCTTGGGGGTGGCTGGAAAACAAATTAAACATAAATCCTTTTTCACAGTCTTCCAGAGCTCTTCCATTATTTCCTAGAAGAATATAAAAACATTATAAATGCCAAAGTATTCTCAAGACTTCTTTTATTTTATATGAAGGGGAAAAAATCACAAGAATGAGAATAAAAAAAAGAAAACAGCAAGACTGATTGATTCCTTCAGCTACTGCCGAAGCCAAGCCCAACTCAGTTTAAGGTTAGAAAGTCCTAAAGCCACAGGCTAATAGTAGGAGTATGGTTTGGGTTTTTTTGTTTGGTTGTTTTTTTAAACATGCAACACCATGGCATCTGGGCCAACCTGGTCTATAGATTGCTGAAGCTTGGGGGTGGCTGGAAAACAAATTAAACATAAATCCTTTTTCACAGTCTTCCAGAGCTCTTCCATTATTTCCTAGAAGAATATAAAAACATTATAAATGCCAAAGTATTCTCAAGACTTCTTTTATTTTATATGAAGGGGAAAAAATCACAAGAATGAGAACAAAAAAAAGAAAACAGCAAGACTGATTTTTATTTGTCTTGCCACCAAAATAAAGAAACTATCCTAAAAGTCACTATTGATATGGAGGAACTCACAAAAAAAGGAGGTGATTGTTTAGCAGAGAGAAGCAGTTAATTGCTTCAGACACTCAATGGCACAGAACCAATTCTTTAAATAATGCACAGCGCCACAGTCAATACAAGCCTCTAATTCAGTCTGGAGATCCTGCTGCTGCACATGAATCATTTCAGCCATGGTCCTACAGCTTACAATTGCAGCTGAAGCTCAACCAAATTGCATCCCATCAATCAAAGGCTGTGCAATCAATTAGCCAACATACAAAGCACTCTGCCTCCATCACTTTTGGAGGCTGGTTAAAAATATGTTATGAGTCAATATAGTTTGTTGAGGTTTTTGTTTGGTTGGGGTTTTTGGTTCCGGATCTTTTTTTTGAGGGGGAAGCGGCAATTATCTGACTTCCTTTGCAGAACCTAACTCTTCTTTATTAGATATTAATTAAAAAGACTATGATAGGTAATTGTTAACTAGGACAGCATATATTTTCAGAACAGAATTGTTACATTAATAAAAATACATTTTTGTAAAAGGAAACCAATTAAAAAAAAAAAATCGCAGCAAGGTTCTGTCAGAAGATGCACTAACCACCTGGTACTCACTGCTACTGAGTCAGCAGCCATGGGAAGGTTATCCTAAACAACCAGCTAAAAATAGAGTGTGGCTGACAAGTCACGGGCAGTGCAACAGGGACACAATCTTCAGTTACAGGAGCTTCACACTTGCAGAGAAGCAAAGAGCAGAGGAAAAAAAACCACAACAAAAAACAAAGCGGCAAAAAGACACTTAGACACTTCTATGAACACAAGTCTTGGGTTTATGCAGTTTTATTCTCTCCCTATAAACTGCCCTAGGATTATTGCAATTTTTGGAACTGAGCATTCAGACTTCATCTGATACAGAAAGTTAAAGCTGAACCTTTTGAGGTCTTACTGGTGCCAGCACTAGCACAACTTTGAAGAAGAATTTACTAAGCCCATTTATACTGGTGGTGCACAGGCAGAACAAAACAGACCTCCTACTTCCACGGCTCATTTCAGAGGCACAGAGCCATTAACAGTAAAAATTGACCTTGCTGGAGAAAGATATATATAAAAAAAGACAATAAAATGCAAAGCACAATAAAAGCGAGTAGTAGCTTAAGGTCTCAGTCATAGAAAAAAGTGAAGAGATTCCCGACAACTTTACAGACACTGGTTAACGTCCTAATACATATTGCATTCCTGTGTGAAACTTAAAATTAGTACCTGCAGTACCTGGAAGATCTGATATCGTCCACTACAGAAACAGATATTTAAGCAGTCTGTGCCTGCTAAGGATTTAGCATTTCTCCAGAATTTTCCACAGCCTGAAAGATCTGCCTACTTCCACCATTACACTTCAGGAAGTCTGGATGCAGCTATCACTGAGCAAACTTGACATTTCTTGATAACACAGTTGAAATTTGGACATAATTCAAACTTTAATGTTACACAACTCAGACTCCAGACAGCATTCGTTCCAAAGTGCCAAGCCTGAAGAAAAAAAAACATTTGAAGACATGTAGATCATGTAAGACATCCACAAAGCCAAACCATCTGGGAGAATTACATACTCAAGAAGTCAAACCAATGACCGGGAAAACAAGCTGCAATTAAGAGATGCCAGTTCCAGCTGCATTTCTAAAAGGCACAAAGGCCAGACACCCAGGTTTTTATTATTGCTTGCTTTCCACTAGAATTATGTAATACTTTATGCTTATTCATTTCTTGAGCTTCAATGTAAGTCTTTATAAAAACTTATGCAATAGATAGTCCCTGGACTTCTTTGACTTTAATTCGGATTTTAAGTGCAGATAGGAGATAATTCTGAAATTTCCATGTTACGGCAACATCTGCCTAATAGGAGGAATTAAAGCCTTCATCACATCCCTACTGCTAATATCACAGACAAGACCCAAGACTTCACTGCAGGTGGCAGAGCAGGGGCAGATCCCTGCTTTTCTGCGCAGGGTCGCAAGATAGTCCCAGAGTGGCTGCTCTGATAGTCAGAGACATCTCACAGCAAGAACAAGCAATATCCATCTTTTCACCCCACCCTGCGTGGGGTGTGCTGTGTGTTCACTGTACCACTACCTACCGCTTTATCTCCCAGCACCCAAGGGCAGAAGAACCACAGCTTCTGCCCAGCACTGTGTCAGCGACTGATAGCTGGACGAGAGCTGCTGAAAACTCAGCTCAAATAGGACCAAGACAGTGCTGGTGTCTTGCAAAAAAGCAAAAGAAAATCCAATATATGTCCTTCCCCAGTTGCCAGCGCTGATGTAAGTCTATGAATGCCGTCAGGTTTGCACCTTTGCTAAAGCCCAGCCTGCTCCTGGTTGTTCAGGTAGCAGCTGTTGGCCAGAACGTACCACCTTCCCCTCGTGCAACTGTGACTGCAAAACACCTGCCTTCCAGTTAGGAGGAAAGGCATATTTTCCAGTTTGAGGATGCATCTAACAGCCAAAACACAGGACCAAGCCAAGAGATCTTATTTCCAGCTTAGAAGGAAGACTGCTGAGCTGCCCCGGACCGTGCTGAGAAAAACCTGACTTCTGCACTGAGCTGCCTGCGTCTCCTCACCTGTACAACACAAACATTTCATACTGGCCCAGAAGGACCACTGCTGGTCTTATTGCACTAACGTCCAACGAATAAGGATTTCCCTGGGGAATTAAGGCTATGGAAATGTCCACGTCACAGATGGACAAAACAGTCGTTTTCAAGATCCCAATGCACTTGCAATCTCAACTACTGGATGCAGGCACTACATCTTACAATCCAGTTCTTAACAACTGATGGGTGTGTACCTCTCATGAGACTAAGTTCAGTTCATGCAGCCACGTGTTTCATGCTGTGTTTCTGGCTGGTTTCAAACCACTGTGTTTCTAGTTGGGAACAGCATATAGCAAAAGAGTACCTTGCACAAACTTGAAACTTTTCCTCTTTTTTCTCATATAGTGAACAGAAGTAATACAGTTAAAGGGTTATCTTGATATAAGCAATTTGCATCCAAAACTGCTGCCTGCTCTTTCCATACAGCCTCCAAAAGCTACCCAGTATTTTGGGAAGAGCAATCCCAGGCACTAGAACACATTTTGTAGCCTTAATTCTGTAGCGAAACAACTTGACAGGATAAAAATCCACAGTCCGTATCCATGAGGGACAGCAGACAGGCAGACAAGAGCGTATGACAATTCATGCATCTCCTCTGAGCTATTATCGTCTCACCTAGAGAGCAGCTTCTAGAAATGCCCATATTGTAATTTTGCTCTGATTATGTGCACATTAACAGCAGG